GCCAACCCGCGTCGATCTCCTCCGTTTTCCACCCATTTTCACATCCAAGGCACAGAATAGATAGATCATAGCATTCTCTGACGGCCGACGGTGTTTTTTTTGCTATGGGATAGTTTGGGGAGGAGGAGCCATGGTGGGGTGGAGGAGGTGCAGTGGAGAAGGAGGTGGTGGTGAGGAGGAGCAGCAGCTGTGGAGGAGGAGGTGCAGCTTGGGTTGTATCCGGAGTTGAACCTCCGGTCTTCGAGGGGGCGGTGCTGTCGTTGTTCGGTGGTGCAAGCACTCCGCTAAGGTATAATCATGTCCTCACAAATTTTCTCTGAGTTGCATAGTTTAGTTAGTGTAGATAAATCATATTGCGAATTGTAGTGTTAATTTGTATGTGGTGGCATTTTAGTGGAGTAATAATTGTGTTAGTGTAGCGGATAATAATAATTGTGTTAGTGTTAATTTGTATGTGGTGGCATTTTAGCAGATTTTAGTTAGTGTAGCGGGTAATATTAGTGTTCATTGTGATTAATGAGAAGATGATAATGTCTGACAGATGAAAATGTCTGAATCAGTAAATTGGACTGTTTACTACGGCGCTGGTAATGTTCGATATAATGAGTTGGGGGTTGATCTTAGCGAGTTTAAAAATGGCTTCATGACACTAGCAGACCCGGACAGACTGGACATTAGACAGTTGATGTACTAGTTGACAACTAGTTTCGGGTTGGATCCTCAAGTATGTTCCGTCACTATTCAAGCATTGTGGACCAAATCCTGTAAAAATGTCAAGTGGGAGTTGATGCCGATAGATAGGAGCCAGCATTGGTTGACCCTGTTAAGACGTTGCCGAGACTGAAGAATCCACCCATATGCCCTTGTGCAACATATGGCGAAGGAGGAGAATATCGTAGAACTCCACAGGGGGTATGAACCCAGTCAGGGTAGTCAAGTGGCTAATGAGATTGATTTATCCGGGTCACAGCCACCCGATGTGGATGCTAGCCAACCTGAGAAAGAGTCGGACTACGTGCCACACAATGTTTGTGGTCCATATACTGGGCAGAGTAGTCAGTTGATAATATTAGCTGGTTCGGGTTTTGCTGATGAGGATGAGGAAGGGGATGCAATGCAGAGGTTGATGGAGGAAGAGGACAAGGATGGATTGGCGGAGGATCTGGATTCTGAAAATTCTGATGATGAAGTGGAGGTACTGATTCCTTCTGCATGGGAGACATATCCACCGGCCTTACGGTCAACGAGGGCCATGAGACTCCATGGCAGTATAATCTGAACCAAGCCCAGATAGGGGCTATGTTTGATACAAAGAAAAAATTGAAGTGTGTGGTGATAAACTGGGCTATGTCTACACAGAGGGTTTTTCGGACACACATATCAAGTCCAACAAATTATACCATGAAATGTGTTGAAACAAGTTGTCCTGGGAAGGTGCACGGGCACGTGCCAAAGTATGACATCCACTGGGTTGTCACCAATGTCGTTCCATATAATTGTGTGAGGAAAAACCTGCTGGTGAAGAATCCTAACCTGACTTCAACTCTCATTGCGCAACTCATGTATACTGAGATAGTTGAGAAGAAAGATATGGAAGCAAAACACATCCAGACAGCAGTGAAGGTCAGATGGAATTATGTCATTCCTTATGGGAAGGCTTGGAGGGCTAAGCAGAAGGCTATGGAGGAAAGGTTTGGGGCGTTCTTTGACTCATATGATATTATTGTCCGTCTCCTTGACATACTGAAGGAGAGGAATCCCGACACGAATGTGAACGTACAACACACAAGGTTGCCGAGTATACCAGATTTCAAGGTGTTGAAACGAGTATTCTTCTCTTTCGCTATGTGCATCCAAACTTTCCAGCATTGTCCTCCTGTTATGTTTGTGGATGGTACATTCCTGACCGATCAGTACAGAGGGCAAATCCTGACTGCTATTGGTGTCGACGGGAACAATCAAATCATCCCACTTGCCATGGCATTTTTGGAGGGTGAGAACTGTCCTAGCTGGGTATGGTTCTTCCGGCAAGTGAAAATTGCCAACGTGCAGGACCGACCAAACGTGTGTGTCATTCATGATAAACATGCTGGTATATTGAAGGCCGTGAAGACACTAAGTAATCCTACAGCTGACGAACCAACACCTTGGAAGGACTTGTAGAGCTGGTGGTGCATGCACCATCTTGGGGCAAAAAATTTCTCACAGTTCAAGAACAAGCGGTTGATGAACTTGTTCAAAAAATTATGCAAGCAGAACCAGCAGTGCAAATACAGATTTATTTGGTCAAAACTAGATGAGTTTACTAAGAATCAAGTTCGTGCGAGGAAGAAAATGGAACAAGATCAGGTTAAATTTTCAGCACTCATCGCGGAGCTAGAGGAGCCAGTAGGTCTCTGTGACTTGCCAGCAATTGACCCTCCTAATACTAAGAGAAAGA